TTATGATGGAATTTACGATCTCGTTAAACGATTTGCTGAACGTCAGGGCCAAGGAAAGCGCAAAGTCGCCCCAAATTCCCCTGACACTCCGTCGACTAGTAAGACGGTTCAACCCGAACCGAAGAAAACGGTAGTGTCAATGGACACTGAAGAAACTGCTGAAACGCCGGCGACAGCTACTGCTGCACCAGTAGTCGCAGATAACACTGCAACCGTACCGCCGACTGTGAGTACCGAATCTGCAGTGATCACTGCGCCACCTAGCGAAATTCCGCGAACGGATGTCGTGGCGTCAGTGGAATCACTGACGATTTCAGGGAATGCGCAGAAACTGCTGGAAGAAGCAGTAATGGAGACGGACGAGAAGCCGTCCATAGAGAATAATTTTCTCTATCCATCCAGACAAGCCCTGCGGGATAGACAATGCGAACTGGAAGCAATGGGCCAGGATTCGACTTTCACCGATGTGGACCATCTTATTTTTGCGGTACCCATCCCGGATAACGATACCGACCCGTTGTACTATCCAGGAGGCAACGGAGGAGTGGATATGCTGGACGGTAGTGCCGACATCAAGACTACGTCTGTCGTACTGAGCAACGCTCTTAACGTACTAAATGCCGAACCGCAGATGGAAATGCCGTAAAAGCATTAAATGCTAAAAAATTAAATCGCCGTAGTACACTGTGTGTATACCGGAATTTAATCGCCGTATAAGCCCAACGAGTGCATCAAAAATCGAATTTATTTCGATCAATTCTAAACAAAAAATTGAAAAGCCGTAGACGCACAAATCTGTCCACAATACTTGGTTAACGAATTGCCGTAGTGCATTAATTGCATAACAGATGAACAAAATTGCCGAAGATGCACAAAGCTGCATAAATGTCGTGGATCGACGCAACAATGCGTATGATTGGAGGAAAACTCCGGAATGGATTGGAAAACCTGCAACATAACAGGGATTAATGCAGGATTGGATTTAACTGGAATGGGATTTTACCGGAATAATTACCGGATTTTTGTTACGAGTTTAGAACTCGTTTTGATTAATTTTACGCCGCATTTTGCAGCGTGTGTTCTCACTAACCTGTGATGGAATAATTGGCACAATTTTTTAATAAAACCTGCTCATTATGTTGCATTTAACATGCATTTCCTTGTTTTTCTCATTCCTGTTTTTGAGCCTCAAGGGGCCTCGGCATCCCGTCCCGTGGCATGTCAGAGTGTTGTGCGTATAGCACAGGGATATTGGCACGGACGCCTCACCATCATTGGCCCGGCTCACCATCTGCCAGCTTTCCAAACACGACTGATCGTGTTTGCCATTCGAGTGCCAGCATCGGAATCGACAACATCGATTCCTTCTTAGCCTTCTGATTTCATGCCCTTTTCCCCATTAGATTTTGTTTTTGAGGATGTTTTAGCATTTATTTCTATGAAATAAAGCGATCATTTCGAGGAGATGTTGTTTCCGTTGTCGTTTCTCTGTACAGCGTAGACGCTTCTCCGAGACGAGTATAATTAATGTGGCAATCAAATTTTGTGGGGCGGTCGGACTCGGTAGTAGTGGAAGATGACATGAACCAACTATTCGTAGCAAAACTGCCGCTCTTCGATAACTGAAATTCAAAATAAACAGATCGCATTTTCTGGCAGCATGGCAGTGCTGCAGCTGCTGATATACTCTGTGCTGAGCAACAGGAACATAATATCAAATAGGCAGAAGAACGATGAAATAATGATTAGAGCGTTATTAAACATAGGGGCGTCACCCGGGCGTGGCAATGAAGAGATGTGAATTTTGTATGCTGGCTGTAATCTACCGTTATCACTCGTATCTTTGACGGTTTGACCTTTTACCAATAACGTGCTACCGCTGTGAGGGGTTGAAGGGACTGGCGGACTGCACAACGGTCGGCTACATCAGCACTCTCGCATATTTGTACAGAAAGGACGGCAGCCGCCCTCTTGTGTATGCGAAAGTGATGACGTCAAGCAGTTGGTAGTCCCTTTCACACTACTTGTATCGTAAATAGTTGCTTTTACAAAGCGAGTTTGAATTTTAACTGCTTCGTTGTGCCTTTGACCACTGGTTTTCTTTCGTCTACGACAGAGCGGTCTGCTGACGGATTCGGAATTGTCCTGCTTGTTTGTGTACCAGAATGCCGCAGTTAAGCCTGATGTCCCGTTTCCCACACAGCGTCGAACGGGTCAAAGGATGTTGAGTACGGGAGATGAGGTGTTTGTGCACAGCCCTGGCACAAACTACTGGTCTGCAGCCAAGTTGACCGCGGTGCAGAAGGAGTTTGTCTTGTTCACCTGGTGCTCCAGCGGCAAGGAAGGCATTGAATGGGCAGACAAGGTGATTCGTGCTCTGGACATCGTCGTAAAAGATCAGCGAGTGTGTATCGACGCGTTTGGAACATATGGGAAATACGTCCGTCTCGAGAAGGATGGACGGCATCGGGTTGATTTGGGCGGAGGAGATCGGTTGGTTGCGTTTGCTGATCTGATGCTGGCTGATCGTCATGTAGCCGCATGGATTGCTGACCGTGAATAATGAACCGGACAGCCCTGTTCTAATGAAACTACGACATATTACGCACTACACAGCACATCAAGAATGATTTGGCCAGCGCCTAATTGGTGTCGGCTTGCAGTTGCGACTTCATGTACACGCCTGTGAAGAAATCTTTGATTTTTAACCTTCTGCATTTTTTCGGTCTCTGTCGGTTGGTGTTTTGTGGTCAAGCTGGCAGCATCCGTAGATTTCATAAACTGTCGACCACTTGCATTTACTCCAGTTGAACTAAGAAAATGTGCGAATCGGTACGGAGGTTAAGGAATGCTGCTCGCGACAACACGAAGCTTGAGATGAAACTTACGCGACATTACTAGCACTGTATCACATGTACTTGTATTGTATGACTATAGAGCTGCTGTAATCGTCACATGTTGCAAAATTAATTGCTTGATGGGCAATGTTCTTCGTCAAGTTGGAATGTATGGTAATCAAACATGGCAAATCCTTTCTATAACGATAAAATTTATTGTTATGGTAAAGAACCTTTTCAATCGGTTTCAATTTGGCACCGAGATGTTTTTCGTAGCGCTGCAAGTAGCGAGCGAAACGCAGTGACTAGGTCCTCTAATTGTTCCGTAATTTTCCTGTCTACTACGGAACACCGATGACCTTGTTAGTAACTTTCCCCTATCATGTCACCCTGTTTTCTAAGATAGTGATTGACCTTTATAAAGTAAAAGGTGTAATCACTTACATATTCCAATCTATTTGGTCAAGTATGGATTCAGCCTTTTTCGTGCAAGCTGCATAATTAAATCCGTAGACTGTAAATTCATAAATTACTGATGTTCTTTTTACATGGATGCATAAAGTTCATTTGAATAAATGCATAAAATTTATTTTCCGTACATGTATAAGCTCGTGCATAAATCAGCAACACACTATTAGGTTTCTTTGTAATGTGTAAATGCGTGAGGAAATAAATGCACCAAAGCTAAAATAAGTGAACCCATTATCTGTAATCGTCTTACGCGCAAATGAAAATCCACTAAGAAAATGCACAGAAGTTTTCATTCACTTCATTTCTTACTGGCAGACGGATTTTTAAAAGCAGCCTCTGCAGTGTGTGATACAATAGGTATTCCCGTTTTACCATGACGGACTTTTCGCTTTGTGTAGGTAATATGCGTTCATTAATAACGAACCCTTGCAGTTCAATTTTCACTGGTTCACTTATGTTGTACGTACAGTACATGGCAGATGCGTTGTACCATGAGCAGAAATTTAAAAATGCGCCGATGAGTATGTCAGTATTAGATCAATAAAAAAAATCAATAAGACCTTCGGAGCCGGTTTGCCCCACTTTCGTGCAATACAACAAATACTACTCTCAGCGTACGCAGACCTGTTAGAAGCAATCCCGTTGGAAGTACAGGGGAGAGAGCGAAAAAGTATTGATCGGGCTGTGAGTTAACATTACCAGACCGCAACTGCCGTGAGAGCCTGGTTACTCTGTTGAACACTATCCGGAAACAATTTCACAATATGTGCGAGTACGTAAGTATTGTATAATTACAACTGTCAAATTTACCACGTATTGGGATTCAGATGCGAATTGTATCTAGGTCAAAACGCTCGAATGCGCTCCAACTCACGCACTGATTTGTGAGTCAGACAGATTCACTGATAATGCTGCGCGCATTGGTCAGATGGAGAATCAGTTGCTGAATTATAAAACCGAGCTGTTGAGCTCGGTTTTATAATTCGTGGCCACATTGGCACATTCACGACCGCACATCAACTCGTTAAAGTTATCCTGAGCTGCTTATAAATGTTCGTGATGATTCCGTGCTGCATTAAACTGTATGAAATTACGCTGTAGTCCGTAATTAATTGTTGAGAGAATATGGTTTAATTAACTTAATTATTAATTACTAATTAAGCAAAACTTTGATGAACAGTTATAACTAGAATCATTTACGCCTTATTAGGGTATTTAGCACCTAATTAATTAGCAAATTTTGCACCTAATTAGTAATTTTGCACCTGAATTTTTAGCACCTGTTTAGCAAATTTTGCCCACATGAAGAAAAACTTAATTATTGCATGTCATTAAGCTTAAATTATTTTTCTCATTAAGTTTGCACTTGTGTTGCGTTGATCATGGCAGTAAACGGCAATGAAGGCTGATTTATTGCAGAATTCACGGTGCTCTCAGATATGCTATTTATTTCCACTCGTGTATCCGTTATCACTGGTGGGAACATATTTCAATTTTTTTCTCTTAGTCATAGAAGAAAGATGAGTAACAGATACGTGCGCAGCAGTCGTGTCGCAGATACAAGCGGGCTGCTGATATTTGACAGTTGCTAGTGTGTATAGGCCGATACGCGCTGAGGTTGAATGAATATTAAGGTATTAAGAATGATTCTTTGGAGTCTGCGTTTTTCTGTTTTCAACACTTACCGAATGATTAGGACTGCAAATTATCTCAGCATCCGCCATGGAAAACCTTCTTATCTACCGTATACACACCCGACCAAATATATCGGGGCTGTATTCTCAGTTTTTTGTAGATGTTCAAGGAGATGACGGTAATGTTTATCGTGGATACGTTTACGGCGCTGTTGAAAATGGTCTGTTAGTAAGAATCGGCTCGATACAGAAAGAACAGCTGGTTCCTTTTGAACGAATTCGGCTAATCGACAGGAAGAGCGCTGACCCTTTTGGTGATTGCGGGGACGACAGCATTTGCCCAGAAGTTGACGTGCTAATTAGCACCTGTTCCAAGCAGCCAGAATCGTGGCAGCCGGCTCGCATGAATAACTGGAAGGAATTCGATAACCGGTATCATCTCGTGAATCTGGATGTTTTTCTGTCGGACGGTGTCACCGCACGCTATGCTGTCATCCATAGAATGTACAGTGAGGAGATGCAGTTACTCCGCAAACGTAATAATCTTGGCCCCACCGTTACCGACAAAATGTATCGCAACTTCACAATCCCGGCATCCACATCATCGTTTTGGGATACCCGCGCACGCCTGGCTCACTGGAAGATGGCCCACACGGAAACAGGATTTCGTAGTTTCTGGCTGTTACAAACGGGAACAATGATTGTGGATTTCCATGATAATGAAGTGGAAGTTTTTGCTTTGACGTGCCAGGTTCCAGTTTTTACGGAACTGGTAGAACAGGGCACTATTTTCACGGATGCGATGACATTTCTAGAATCTTGCGATGAGAAACTGAATAACCAACTGTCTGAATTAATGCAGGACTTGGTTGTTGCTGTTATGGAGCAATCAGGTAAGACTGCCTTTTTTGTGAAGCGATGAATTATTACTAAATTACGTATGCTATTTTGATCGCAATAAACGTAGACATTCGTTTTTTTTACAAAAAATAAAAGACCAGACATCATAACAGGAACAAGAGCATTGATTAAGCGTAAATTATCGTATATCTGAGTCGGCAGTAAACAAGTCGCAGCTTTTTTATACTTTTGCCGCTAAATACTTAATTATCACAGATGTCACATACCATTGCAAGCGATATTCAGCAGTCACAGCTGCAAGTACTTATTTATGCAAGTTCCTATGACAGTGTAAAGGTCATGTACTGTCACTGGAGAATTTAGCGTCTTGTCGGTTCACACGTGTGTTATTGGGGTTTGAATTCATAATTATATGATTATTTTTTTATCAGTTCATGATTTTTCTTAACTGATTTTCTTTTCAGACAGAAAGCAGGATGACTTGCGCATTTATGACTTGCCTTTGGATGTACACCTGACCGTATGCTCACATTTGGATGTCTATAACCAAGGGTCACTTAAGAGGTAGCACTACTATTTTGCAACTACTTAATATTACTAACGGCGTAATATTTTAGCAAGTTTCTAGGTAGTACGATCCAATTTAAAATGCATTGGACAATGGCCAAGACAATTCCTGCGCCATCGAATCTTAACGTTGCGAAGTCGTCAAGTTTACTTTATACAACTCTTCTTTAGGGTGTCCAGTTTTTTCCATAAAATTCTAACTTCTCCTGTGATCCAGTCCAGTGTGATCCTACCTCGGAATTCTAATTGCGTCGCTGCTATGCTGGAATCACTGCAGTTGACGACAGTTATTATATCGCTCGCCCAACTGGTAGCTCGATCAGTCACTAAGATCATCAAAGTGGTTTATTTAACCGGAAACTGGCGGAATTGTCTGCTGTTCCTTACTGATTTGCTGGCCATGGTTGAGATAAAACCTGACTGGCTGATTATTGCCAATAACCGAAAGCTACAGTTCAACGATTTTTTTCAATTTCCCAAAGGAGGATTCAGTCACATAATTGTCACACCGGACGATGCTCCGACACTTGCCGGGCGGAACATATTACCTGCTCCGGTTTATGGCAATATGTGTCACAATCTTTTACTGAAGAACTGCTCCTTCAACAGCCATAAATCTATTTGCTTTGGAACAGGTATACAGAATCATTTTGTTAGCTGGCCGTTAGAATTGCGGTGCTGTACGGATCCGTTTATCATCCGGGTTCCTTGTTGGCATTTCACTTTTTCCCGTTCAACGGAAAATTTTGCTACTGCAATCGAAGCCATGCTTATCGAATTTTGCGAACCTTTGAACGAAGAAAAAATGAAATGCCTCTCCGGTTGGTTGGGCTCCCTATGTGCCGAGGACGAAAAGTTTTTTTGGCCGTTTGTTATCCTATCATTTGGAATGTAAGTATAAAAACTAAAATCTTCTTAAAACCGAGTACTCTGTATATCTTAAAAAACAAAAAATAATGGTCGTCTCTTTTTATGTAAACACCAGACAAAGTCATGGAACGTATGATGTCTTGCAGGTGGAATGTAGACCCACCGGAAGATGTAGAGCATCTTCGGCAAATGGTTTCCGGGACAATTTCCCGACGGAGTTTACTATTGCTTACTATTGCGCTTATGGTACCTGTATGACTCCTGCAGAATGCTAAGTTTACGTGATTCTTGTCCTTCTAATTTACTCCCCTGTTTCTAACCGTTGTTATGTCTTCTGAGCAGCTTCTGTTTTTTGTTACGAGTTTCGTTTTGTTCGGTTTAATTCCCTAACCTTTAAATAAAGCTACAACATCAAAATGCTTGTTAAAAACATGACAATTTTAGCTCGACGTTTTGCGCTTCTGTGGCCACTGATTTGCTTTTTGCTTGGTGAGCGCTAGCATTACCTTCGGCTATGTACCTGCACATTCTACGCCCTGTATTTGCAATTCGCATTGGATAGTGCATTAAATTTCGGGCGTTGTTTTTTGTTCCGTTTGCTACATTTGGCACTACATTTCGTTCGGCGCTGGGCGCAGTATCATAAGCGAAAGTTTGAATACGCAAACATCGAAATTGCCTACTGAGCTCCTCCGTATGGATTCACATCAAATCACGATCCTATTCACCTTTTTAATAAATATGAGTAACAAATAAACTAGAATACGCAAACTAAACACAGCAGTCATGCGCTCATAGCATAGTTGTCAACTTGTCATGCATACAGATACATTGCACCTTTGATATAATTATCATCATTCTAAACAGGCCAGATTTCAGTTGTTAGAGGCACGACAGCCTGCGTGATAGATACGCCACTTTGCGTATGCGTATCACTGCACACATGCTGATTCGCCCTCTCTTGTACGTACGTGAGTGGCTGCACTGCACTCTCCGCCTAGCGGATACACCGCGGGCGCACTCACTGAGCATACTTGCTCTCGCTCCTCTCTCTCGCTGTATGACTCAGCGCATATACGCTCGCGTTGGATACGAGTCCAGTCTGCGCACTCACATTCCATGTGTCTGGACTGCGTGACGCCGTTGCCGCCAGCACATTTCTTTCTCTACATTTCATTACGCTCTAGAACTAGCTCGCAGCAACTTGACTTGCTGATTTCTGCCAGACACTGGCCTTTGTTGTGTTTTCCCCCGCATTCACGCGGCATTTGCTCCACTTTATTTGTACAATAAAGTCATCTGTGAGCTCTCTGTGCTTGCCTGTCACATGGTAAGCAGATCGTCTGGTTTTTCGTTCTACCGGATCCTTTGAGGAGACGGTAAAGGCATAATTTCGCGGAGAACTTTGGAGAACCCACGGTTGAAATCAGATTGACTGCGGACGCAGCCTCTGTTTCGACCTGCTCTTTGCTGTCTAGCGACTGTGGTAGCAACAGGTTGATCGCAAAAGCGATCCCTGCCACCTTCGCTTGCCCTATCTTTTGGCTCTTCCACACAAGGAGAGCACTTCGGCTGACTGCCCCAGACGGACGAACGGGAACTACCCCACCGCAACTGACGGAACAAGCTCAGAAGAAAGCCTGCAGCGCGCAAGGATCCTCACAACAATCGGGGACCTTCTCCTTGAACGGAGACCCGCAACTTTAACGGCGGAATTCGACCTCCCAACAGCGGATCACCGACCTCCACGGACACCGTAACGAACCGGTAAAGTCCTGGTTACAGGTCAATACTAGGTAGAATTCCTAGTTTATAACGGCTAAAAGTAATTTCTAACAAAGAAATTTTACTTTCCTACGGAAAAAACTTAATTTTCGTCGGAGAAACCGACCTAAAAAGTTACTTTTACCGACCTAACGGACCACTGTGTAACTGACCACAGGTCGGTCATACTCTTACTTTGTTGATTTGACGGATTTTCCACCGTCGGAAAAATATCTAAAGAACCTAGAAATTATTTCTAACGGTTAGAAATTAAAATTTCGACCAGAAAACATCTCTGATCGACCTCGAAAATAATTTGTTTTTCCGCGAAAATAAGCGTGAAAATCCTTGAATTTCCTTGTGACGTCAGAACGCTCGATTTTCAGTACTTTGAGGCTAGCCAATCAGCGTGCAGGGGAAACTTCCCATACGCTTAACATAGGCGTGAATCATCAATTTTTTTAAATTTTGCACGCGGCTCGCATTCTGTGACGTAGGCAGTGAAGTGCAAGACCACTTAGCCCTGTGACGTCATACTGGTCAGCACAGTAGTATAGGACGTACTCTACTGTAGTACCTTATCGTACTGTACTGCACCATAGTACTGTATTGTAACGTTGTGTACTGAGTCATACACAGACACATCAACACAACAACAACAACAACAAGTCGGACCATCCTGACCCTCGGAAGTTCCTGAACCCAAAGACGTTCCTGATTTCACTGAACATCCCCACATAAGGGATTGTTCAATTTACTGTACAACAGTACAAGTCTCTCGTTGGTTCCACTTGAACCGACCTAACCCGACAACAATGTCGAACCCGAAGGAAAACGAATACGCCCGAAAGTTCAACACGGACTATTCGCGGCGCCTGACTTCCAACGCGCCGTATGCACTACGGCACTCCGGTCAGGATAAAAGTCAGCCGTCATCAACGGACTCAACGAAGTCGGCTGAGGCACGGGAGAAGCGCAACGAGCGGATCCTCCTCGCCGATTCCAACCCAACGTCCGATGACAGCTTCGAGGACGCCCACGACAAGACGTTCCTCGAGCCCCGAGCTGGCTTAGCAGCCCCGTCCCACCCGACCGGGGGGGAATCGGAGAAGCTGCAGGCTGAGACCACATTGTCTCATGCCGAGGCGGAACACCCACATGGTGTACCGACCTCCACGGACCCAACAGAAGGACTTCAACTGAGCTCACAGAAAGCTCAGGAGTCGGTAACGACTACGAAAGTCACCGACGCCGGACACACATCACCCAACCAGACGGATGACGTGAAGAGGTCGACATCGCCCAACTCGGGTAGAGCGACTTCACCGACCTCGAAGGTCGGAGAGAAGCAACCGATAACGGAAATCGGTCAAGTCCAACCGACCACAGAAGTCGGTAGGGCTTCACCAACCTCTAAGGACGGTCAACGGAAACCGACCTCGGAGGTCGGTTACCCTCAACCGGAGGTCGGACCTCATCTGACAACACAAGTCGGAATTGAGGTCGGAAGACTACAGCAATCACCAACCAAGGAAGTTGGCCAAGTCCAACCGACAACAGAAGTCGGGAGGATTTCGCCGACCAAGACGGATGGAAGTCCACCGACCAAGGAGATTAATCAACAGAAGCCGCCTACCGAGGTCGGACCTCACCCGACAACACAAGTCGGAACCGAGGTTGGACCACTTTCACCGACCAAGGTTGGTCAACAAAGGAAGACCATGGAGGTCGGACCTCGTCCGACAACACAAGTCGGAACCGAGGTCGAACAACTCCCACCAACTTCAAGGATCGGACAACAGCAGGTCGGTAAAGTCCAACCGACCTCCCTGGAACGGAAGCCAGCGGATAACAGGTCGGATATGGACATCCAGTGGCCTAAACTACCGGCCAAAACGGGAGAAACTGAGGCCCCGCCACGAAGCGGACCTCACCCGGCTGGATCACCGACCAATATACCGATGCCTAACGAAAAGGCTATCTCACCGCTAAGTCGACCTTCGCCAACGGAAGGCAGGTCGACCCAAGCAACAGAGAAGTCCGACAAGTCGCCAACAAGTCGACCTGTCGACCTACTGAAGAAGAAGTCGCCACTCATGTTTGAACTTGGCGACTCGGGTAGTGGAACACCACCACCCATGGACGACGTATTTGACACGACACAAGTGTCACGTCCCAGCAGCCGGGATGGATTCTTCCGAACGCCAGTGGCACCCCACTTGGGTAACCACAGGTACCAAGCAAGCACGCTTGAGTACACGGCACGGAAGTGGATTGCATCCACACCTCCAGAAAAGATCGAAGACATCGATCGACTCCGGAAACGATGCCAGGATTTGATAACACAAATCGTCCTGGCCGACCAAATCGTTAACTCCACAGAAAATCAGATGTCGCGATCGGAGGACACCCATAAGCTCGAACGGAAGCGATGGGAGAAGGAACCAGCCGAGGCCAACAATGGCATAGCTGCGCAACAGCGCCGCATTGAACACTTGGAGAGTCACCTCAAGAGGTCCGACAATCCATGTCGGTATGACTTCGAGGAGATTGAACGTCTTCAAAGTACACTTGCAACGTCAGTGGAGTCGGTCTTCGAACTGAAGAGACGCCTTGCCACCGTAGAAAAAGACCTGGCTGACACACAAACAGCCTTGGTCGAATCGGAACTGGCAGCAGGGACGTTCCACCAACAGCTGAAGCAGGCCAATGAAGAGGCCGAAGTGTACCGGAACGAGGTCGACAGATACATCGTCGAACTCAAGCAGGCCGACGACGAGGTCGACCGGCAGAAATATCGAATCGAACAACTCGAAAGGGAGATGGAAACTCTCCTGGTCAGGGCAGGACGACAGCTAATGGCTCACTACGGCCAGCAACCTGCCTCACCCGACCGAAGTAGAGCCACCACCGACCTGGAACAAGCAAACGCCCAATTGGCCGACCAGGTCTACGGACTCAATGATGCGCTGAAGGAGGAACAACGACTCCGAGCACAGCTGGAACACAGCCTGGCAGAAGCCCAGAAGGTGTACGAAGCGCAACAGAACCGCATCGCACACTTGGAAGTCCGCGAAAACGACCTGTACAACTACGGTCTGGACGCGGATAAATATATCGATGACTTAAATCGATATATTGACGAGATGACCACGTATACCGACGACTTGGATACGGAGGTACGCTGTCTCCAGGAGGAAACGAAACACTTGGAACAATCCAGGACGGAGCCTCCATCCTACAGGACTTCGATGGCAACGGATTTCCACTTTGAACCGTCGCAAACAGTTCGAGAAATCCTGTGGGACATCAAACCCAAAGAGGAGAAGAAGGAACAGAACTTCTTCGTGGGCGTGGTGACAACTAACCCGCTCATCGGAACTCCTCCGCAGCAACAGCCTCTGCCCCACCGTCCAGAACCGGAACGGAATACGTCGACTGCGGCACCACATGTGCCAACGTCAAACGTGCCGACAACGACGACGGCCACGTCAGGTACCTATACTAGTACCACGTATGCAACACACACATCGATGCATGCGCCAGCGCCCACCACGTCCCACCCGAATGGACCAGCGCCTAATCAATGGGGCGCAGGACGGCGACTAGGAGAGCGAACAAGCTCACATCCCAACATGGATGACTTCGGCCGCTTGACGATAAGCGACTCGACTATCGCCGTGAACGAGCTAGGTCATATAATAACGACCTACCTCCAGGAGGACGAAGCGGACAACAGAATCCGGAACGCCCTCCCGCCGATTACCCACAAGACTCGCAGAACGTGCCTCGGTTCCGACCAACAGAAGGTCGGGCACCACCGAGAAGGCCGTTCAGAAGTCAGCATGGAAGGGTGAACGACCTTCCACCGGGATTCTACCAACAGCCACAACGGCCCCCACGAGCACCAGCTCCTCAACCGGAACATTACCCGGCTGGATACCCAGACCAACAAGGTCAGGGATATCAAGATCAACAGGGTCGGGGATATCCACAGCAACAGAACTACGGATATCCGGACCAACAGAATCAGTATTACCCAGACCAACAAGGTCGGGGATACCACGCGGATCAAGGTTGGGAAGCAAACCCTCCCCCACCACCCTATGCCGCGGACGCCCAACAAGCGGCTACCCGGGCATTCCAGGAAACAATGATACGCGTATGTGCCCGCGGACGCACACAGAAGCTACCGGAATTCGATGGGGACCATAACAAACTTGAAGGATGGTTAAAACAAATCCGTCGATTCTACGCGGAAGCACAGGAATGGCATGAATCGGACCACACGTTCATGACCGACCTCATCTCACGACTCGAAGGCCAAGCCGCCCAATGGCACCGGGACACAGCCGGAGCCGAACCTGACGGAGGATGGCCAGTCAACGTGTGGTTGACTAAATTCGAAGAGCGGTTCGGAGATAAGAACAAGGAAATTAACGCCGTAACCGCCATGGCTAAACGAAAGTACCGTTTCGGACAAGAGACACCGGAACAGTACTATGACGCCATGATGAATATCAAGTCCCGATGTGACACCATCACGGACCAGATGGCACTTTTCCATCTGAAGGACAACATTCACGAACCCAAGCTACGAGAAGCCTTGGAGATTCGTATGCCGGCGACTCCGGTAGAACTGCGTGACTACATACGTCAGTTCGTGAACGGAAAGGAGATGTACGATGTGGTGAAGGGATCACGGGATACAGACTATGCCCGGGTCCGAGCAACAACGCCGACACCAGCTCCTTTACCGCAGGCACCAGTACAAACAGTGTACCAGCCGTACATGATGCCGGGATATCAAAGCCCATCGGCAACATACGTGCAACCGACCACACCGATAACGCCACCAGCGCAAATGATGCCGGTCCAGCAACCGACCTGGGCAGGAGTGGCAGCTGTCAACTTGGCAGCACCCCAACCAGCAGCCGGAGCCCCAGTAAACAACTACGGAGGCCAAAGTCCTGGCTCTGGAAGCAACCAGAACAACGGAAGTTCTGGGTACAACCAAAACCCAAACCAGGGATACTCCGCATACGGTCAGAGTCCGACACAAGGATTCGGCGGCGGAGGCTACGGTCGCGGAAGAGGACGTGGCGGCGGAAATCGCGGCCGCGGTAACTTTAACCGCGGCGGAGGCGGAAACCAACAGGGTAACCGACCTTCCCAAGCACAACAAGGTGCTCGGCAGTTTACGACTTATGCGGATAAGATGGAACAACTGTTCCTTCAGTGGACGCTGGCGGACAGCTTTACTTGCCACTTCTGCAAGTTCGGGAACCATCCCCAGGCACGCTGCGCGTTCATCGGCACTCGGGTACAAGACAACCCGAATCGCCGTTGGTACGAGGATTGGCATACGCGATACCTGACGGGAGGACCGTTGGGTTCGGCCAACCCGAACTCGGCACAGATCGTGCCACCCCCGCGCCAACGCCAACAAGGAGGAGGCTCGGGCGGTGCTGGTAACGGAAACCAGCAGACCGGCTCAGGGAATGGGTCGGGCGGAAACCGCGGGAATAGCGGTGGAGGTCAACAGGGATCTCCGGAACAGCGGCAAATGCTACCGCCACATCAGCCCTTTGGCTCGCCGTCACCCAACAATGGGCCGGCTCGGGGAAACTCCTCGGGAAACGCCTAAGGTCGATGAGCCCCGGTGACTCATTCGACCTGCGACATCCCACCGAACCACCGGACAAGGATAACCCCACTAACCAACCGCACTTTAACCGGAGAGAACCACCTGTCCCCACAACAGAAGGGGAAGTCATCCAACAGATTGATGCATTGGTCAGACAACTAGGTCTGGACCATAACAGTACAGAAGAAGAATTCGTGAACGCATTGTTGGCTCCAACAGAAGAAGCCACAATGGCCAGAACAATGGCAGAACGACTTGGAATTTTTGTCAACAATGGCAAAATCGAGATCCGGACCAGAACGCAACGAATGCCCGACTCACCCGACCCAGCGCATCAACTCGGCGTTGGAACGTCGGAGGCCGGAACGCAGGGATTGCCCGGACCGACCGACCCAATACCTCAACTTGGCATTGGAACGTCGGAGGTCGGAACGCAAGAAAGGCCCGACCTACGCAGCACGAACAATGTGACTGCGCCGCCCGCCACAGAAAGTGACGCAGGACGGACCGGCCACGAAAGCTGGACCGGACTGCCGGTGAGAAGAAACTCAACCGAGCAGCCCAGACAAGGGCCAAGACGCGGAGGACCGGGACGCCGATTCACGCAAAGGGGCAACAGAAACTTCCCCAATGTATCATCCGGACGCGCAACGGATAGATACGCTGCAACAATGGCAGCTATCGACCTCACCGAAGAATCGGAAGGAGAAGTCGAAATATGGGAAACATTCCCTCTGGAAGTACAGGCACCCGCTCACTGGCTGCAGCAGGAGTCGGACCTCTCCCAGCAACAACCTCAACCGGCTAGAACAGTAGCCGGATCTCGGACGTTCGTCAACCTTGACTACATATGGTCGCAAGTGAGGCCAACGGAAACCTCGATAGAAGAACGGATACGAGAACAAACACGACGGTTCGAAACTCCCACCGATGTGCTGGAGGGCGGAGTAGCTAACCGACCTCGGGCACATGAAGTGGTCGTAACCGAAGTGGAACCAATCCAAGGTACGCTGACGCCAACAGAAGGCGGATCAGTCTCCTTAATTCCCGTCACACCGACTGTACGGGAAGTGACCTTCGAAAAAGGGACTCACAAGAAACCGAAGACGGTCAGAGCCTGGACACACGAAATCCGGATCGGACCGACGCCCACAATGGCGATGCTCGACACAGGAGCAGAGACTTCGCTGATCGAACAACGATTCTGCGAACAAAACGACCTGCCTATGCAACCCCTTGGCCATTACACTCGGATACTTGGCGTAGGCGGACAAGTTGCCTTCACCGTAACCCACTGCTGCACCGTACCGGTAACGCTGCAGGGATTTACGAGCCATCATACATTCCACGTTCAACCGAACAACGCGGATATCCCAGTGTTACTTGGATGCGACTACCTTCATTCCAAGTTCACCTTTGTGTTAACACCCATTCCTAACCCGGAACGACCTGGAGGAATGACGGTAGTGCAGTCTATCCCGATACCAGAGGCATCGGGCACGGTAACAAATGAAGCAAGGATAAGTCGGCTTGATCACCCGTCAAACCCCTTGCCCAACATTTGCCGTGACTGCCGGGATACCAACCGGACTCTGATCGAGGAAATGCAACTGCACAACTCCATTGAAGCGTACGAAGAACGGATACGGACTGGAAAACTACATCCGAAGAAACGTATACTGAAGACGGCAGTAAAGTCTATCCCGATACCAGAGGCATCCGCAACGGAAGCGGATGCCATCTTAGAAGTCCAACAAAAGTACCGGACTTGGTTTACGGGAACACAACACTTTCTCGACCGACGGACGTTGGAGATGTTGGCCACTCTGCAACAGAACGGAGCGGTGACTACGGACCAGATACAGGAAGCACAACGGACATGCGAACCTGTATTGGCTCTCGCCGAAGACATCGACGATGAAGCTTGGGAATGGGAAGACGAACGAGTCCCAATTCATCGGCAGTACATGGAATACGGACTTCCAGTACCACGCCCTCTGGAGATACCCTGCCAAGAACTAGGCGGAGCACTCTTCAGTTATATGCGACAAGTACAGTTGTACGGAGAATCGACTACAACTGCGTTTTGGAAACGGTACGGCGAGGACACCTCAATAACAAGGAAGATCCCCGACCCGTTACCGCCAATCACGGAACACTTTCCGAAGGAAGTCAAATTCGTTAACGACCTGAAGAAGCCAACTGAGCACACGCAAATTGGCGAAACTGACCGACCTGATCGCTGCATAATCTGCAACGATAACATTGATGGAGTCGTCCGGACGCTGAAGACTCACCATGACTTGACATGGATTGACGGCAGACCGTCGTCACCAGCCCCTCCGCAACCAGAACGGAAGGTAAACTCAAGCCGGAAGACCAAGTCGGTAGTTAACCAATGGCTGAGCAACATAAGCTCACAGCCACCCGACCTGGAGAAACAGGACGAAGAGAGTCGACCGACCCAACCGAAGGAAACGGTCGACCAGGGAGTACCGACCACGGAAGTCGGAGAAGGTAGTGCGCCACCGACCACAGAAGTCGGACATGGCGACACACCTGACGCTAACCCTGAAGACGAGCAAGAATCCGAGGAATATAACTCGGACGTCTCGGACGTACAAAGTTCGAGCGATTCACCGGACACAGACTCCGATAACCAACCTTCGGAAGAATCCGAGGAAGAGGATGATGATGAGGAATTCGACCCGTCAGTACGAAACTGCAGGTCAGATAAACCGCGGAATGACGACTCGGACGACTCATCCGAGGAGGACGAAGAACCGACCTACGACGTCCGGCTGACAAAAGCTTTGCGGTCCGTCATCCACACTGAATTCATAGTCGACCTTCCCCCGGAACAAACCGGACAGGAAAAGCCAGTCGATGTCGAACAACAGGCGGAACTTGAACAACTTCAAATTTTACGGGAATTTGGAGGAGGCCAACCGGAGGAACACGACCTCCGACCTCCAACCATAGTAGTCCAGCAGTTGTCAACCGAACAACCGACCTCGGTTAACTTAACTGACCAACAGAAGTCGGAGCAACCGCGCCCACAGAAGGTTCGGATTGCAAAAGTCAACTCGATTACGGAGCTGAACTTGGGCAACAAGCACCCACAAGTTCACCATCTGGCATTGGACCCGTTTATCGACTCGAAGCCGCTAGACCGACAAGTTGTCTTCAACAGCGAGCGAGTCTCTCTCC